AGACCCGGGCCGACCCGGAGACCACGGCCCCTGCCCTCGCTGGGACGCACGCGGCCCGCCCTCCGCCGCTCTCTTCCCTTTTCTTTTATCGGGTTTTTGAGACAAGGTCTTGTTATGGAGCCCAGGCTGGCCTTGGGCTCACTCTGCTCCTCCTGCCTCAGCCTCCCGCGCGCTGGGTCATGGGCGTGGCCGCTGCACTGCGGGTTCTCAGCTCCGGGCGCGCTGGCAGGTGTGATCAGAAACACGGTGACAGCCGCTGCCGGGCGCCGCCCGCTGGATGGGCAGCTGGTGAAACCCGGGCGTCTTCGTCCCCCGAGTCACGGACCGGCACCGGCGGCTTCCGCGCCTCCCCACGGTCAGACCGAGCGGGAAGCCTGTGAGCAAACTCGACGTCGGGGCCGCCGCGCAGCGCAGCCAGGGACCCTCGGGATCGGGACCCCGAGAAGCCCGGGACGGCCAGGCGGTGGGCGGCGTGCGCGGCAGGGCCCGAGGGGCTCCGGGCTCCCGGCCATGGGTCTGCAGAAGCTGCGCCTCCCCGGCGGCCTCGGCCCCTCTGCCGCTTCCCCTGCGCTGCGCCGGCCCGGGTCCAGGGTCCAGGGTCCAGCACCGCCTCCCACGGCCACGGTCACGGCCACGGCCCTGTGCGCCTCCGAGAAACCAACGTTTACCCGGGACCGCTTTGTGACCCGAAAAAATGCACCAGCGCCCCGAAAAGCCACTGTCTCGCGGCGCTCCGGTCCGCCAGCGTCCTCTGCCTGCGCCCTGGGCCTGCCCCCGCCTGCTTCTCCAGCCGAGATTCGCCCTCCTTCCCCACAGCGCAGCGTGCGGACTCGGGCTGCGCCCCACCCCGCCGCAGGGAGGGCTCATGGGGCTGCCTCAGTTTACTCTGCCTGCCCTGACAAAACAGCGCCAGCACTCAGTGATGTCAGTCAGCCTGGAGGCCACGCGGGGAAGGGGCTCCTCCTGGCTAGCCTCAAGGTGTTGGCAGAGCCTCGGGCTTCTGGATGACCCCAGGCAGAATCCCTAGCCAAGGCTGGCCTCAAACTTGTGGAGATCCTCCTGCCTCAGCCTCCCAACTGCTGGGATCACAGGTGTATGCTACACACCAGGCCTCCCCTCTTCTTTCTCCAAAACCCCTCTCTTGTCTCTGATCTTCCTCTTCCTCTCTGTCTCTCTCCCCCTCTCCCCCAACCCCACAGCCTCTCCTCAGGGTCCTATCACAGCTGGGGACCCACCTGGCCAATCCAGCGCAAAAACCTCCCTAATGCAAAGTACCCCACTGAACGCGTCTTCACCCGACATTCAGAGCTTCAGGGTTAGGATGGTGCCTCCCACTTTGGGGACGCTTTATGCGGTCTATCGCAATTACTAATATCAAAAGATGAAAAGAAGCTGGGTGTGGTGGCGCACGCCTGTAATCCCAGCGCTCAGGAGGCTGAGGCGGGAGAAGCACTGCAAGTTTGAGACCAGCCTGGACTCCGTAGTGAGTGGAAGGCCAGCCTGGGCTACATGGCCAGACCAGTTCCAAAAACTTAAAATAGAAAAGGTGAAAGTGAGAATGCCAGGCCTGTGAGGGCAGCAACTAGGCAGGATCCCTCCTCTGTCCACACTTTGAAGTGTAAACCCTGGTCTCCGGGGAGCGCGGGACAGCTGCGGACGCGGCGCCTGCGCGGTGTGACCCCCTCCCAGCCCGGCGCGGCCCCGCCTACCACTGCCCAGAGGCCACGCCCACCTGTACGGGTCACACCCCGGACGCAGGGCTCCGGGACGGCTTTTCCTGGGGCTCGTGGGTTGCTTTTAACCGGGCAGACGTTGCACAGCACGCTGTCCTCAGCCCGAATGAGTCCCGACCCGGCCTCTCCGAGGCGATCGCCCCAAGCCCAGGGTGGAGAGCTGTGGCCCGGGTCGGTGCCCTGCAGGACCTGGCCCCGCTGTGCCCACACCCTTCCTGGAGGAGTCGCCGACCCAGCTGCTCCGGCCTCTGCCGCACCCGCTCGGAGTGCAGCCCTGCGCTTCGCCCAGCGCCATGGAATGGACAGGCGTCTGGCGGTTTGGGCCCTGAGCCCTCCCCGTTCCCCGGCTGCACCCCTGCCCAAGGTGCTGAACCCGGTGCTGAACTAGGTGCTCTCAGCCTGGCCCTTCCCTGCCAGGGCAGACCTCCTCCTCTCCTGTCGCCCAGCCCCTTCCCGGGTCCGTCTCCACCCCACACCCTACGCCAGCTAAGGGCCCAGCGTGGCGCCTCCAGCTGGAGCCCCCTGCACCCCAGTCGGATGCGAGGACAGCATGGCCGGCGCACGCCTGTGCCGTCCCCAGAGCCCAGCACAGAGCCGGAGCTCGGCACCATCCGCTGACAGCCGCCTGGGTCCCGGGGACTGTGCTCAGCGCTCAGCGCCCGCCGTGGGAGGCACCACCAAGCCAGGCCCCGCTCGCACCATGCGTCCTCCCGGCTGCAGGAGCACCCAGCACCCAGCACCCAGCACCAGAGTTTGTCCTGGCTTCTACCCGTGCTTCCCCGCGGAGTCCGCAGGTCACTGTCCCTGCCACACGGCGTCCCCGTGCCTCACCCCGCCCCCGTCGCAAGGCGCCCCCAGCTGTCCCTTTCGTGCAACAGCCAGGCTGGGCTCTGGAGGGCTGGGGACTGTTGGTGGCAGGAAGGAGGCCCAGCAGAGCAGCTCCAGGGCTGGGCTGTGCAGCACACAGCAGTCAGGGCTGCACTTCCTGTCCTGAACAAAGACCCCACCGCGAGGGACGGGAGTCCAGGGAAGGACGGAGGCGGGAGGCACGTGTGCGCCCACCGCACGTCCTGGGGCTGGGAATGCTGCCACAGTCCCCAGCTGGCAAGCAGCATCCCCCTCCCCCACTTGAACCCGGTTTCTATGACACCCAACAGCCATGCTTGGTACCCGGCAGTTTCTGCTAGAAGACAGGCCCTTTGCCAGTGTCCATGGCTTCTCTGCATGTGCTGTGCCAAAGGGGCTTCCAAGATTTTGAGACAAAGTTTCACTATGGAGTCCAGGCTGACCTCAAACTTGTAGGGATCCTCCTGCCTCAGCCTCCAATGTGCTGGGATTATAGGTGTGCACCCCCACCCCCAGCCTAATCCCTTCTTCAGTGTGAGTGGAACTTGGTGAACCTCTCCTAAGAAACTGGAGAAAGCAGAAATAACAGCATGAGGCTTCAGAGTGGAGGTCCTAAGAGGTCTAGACCCCCCTCTCTCACTGCTGAGGTAAAATACCCACTACCCTAAATGAAGGAAGGAAAGTTTTATTTAGCTCACAGTTTGTGGAGGTTTCAGTCCATACTTGCTGGCTCTGAGGCAGAAGATAACAAAGCAACAAGAGCATAGGGGGAATGGCAGTGCATGCAGGCCTCTTTCCCTCCCTTATATTGTAAGCAGGCTACCCGCACCCAGGGGGCGGCACTCACATAGTTAACCTTCTGAACTTCTCACCCTGACACAATGAACAACATCCTAGAGCAGGAAGGGCGTGTCCTTTTCACCCCAGGATGTAGAACTGCGGAGTCACTTAGCCAAGGCTCCAGACTCCCCAAGTTGACACATGTATCAACCATAACACTCCAACCCTTGTC